TGGGGCTGCAGTCTTCCCTACAGTTCCTCTTGAAGGCTGTGATCCATGGAAAGCCTATGGCTGGTGGGGCGGCGTATAAATTGAATAATTCTTTTAAAAGGCATATTTCAGGTTCTGATGTGAAACATAAAAAACAAGGCGAGTCTGCAATCCGGTGTACATTTAGACAGAACAAAGTCATACAACTCTCAGTTTTCCCCAGGCATCCAAAGCTGGCCAGGACATGCTAGAAGCCGTAGGGTTTTCCTGTCTGAACATACATAGGATGGCTGCCTAAAAATATCTAAGAAGCTTAATGCGGACTAATGGGAGATGGAACCTGAGAATATGACAGATAAGAGCAGCTGATTTCGTAGCTACATAAACTTGAGCAAACTGAAATGTAAAAGTTACCATTTTTCATTTTTACTTGCATTTCATTCCCTTGGTTTGTATGTCAATTCACAAACTGTAAATCTGAATAGCTTCTTATAAAGGCACATTTTTTTTAGAACACAACATATCGCCTTAAACATGTTAATGTTTAAAATCAAGTTTCATTTTTAAAACATACTTAGAAACCAGGAGATGGAAGGTTGGATACTCCAGCCAATTTCCCTTTTTTTACTTGTTTGATGCAGTGAGCTCTCGTCAAAATTATATGCATTACCGTAACATTTGCTTTGCAATAAAAATGAAAAGTAGACATTTGTTTTTACTCCATATAGTGAGTTACTTTCGTATGTTCCTTGGTCAAATATGCCCTACATTTCTGATTGTCCACCTACTTGAAAGTGTGTGGCTTTTTCCTCTAAATTTGAAAAGGCTTGTCACGTAGGGTCAAACAGCACCGTGGCCTAGTTCATATATACTGCTAAACTAGGATTTGTTGCTCTACTCAGGGTTGTCTGACAGATGATTAAACAAATCATGTTTTATTTTCTCAGTGCCTGGGTTGTTTCCCTCCTCCTTCACCCACTCCTGTTTGTATCTCAAATACCCTTGTGCCACTGCAGTTCTGGGATGTAAAGCGGCTGGATGTTTTTTCCTGCTCTTACCTTTTGCTGCTGTAGCCCCATTAAATGACCAACAAGCCCACAATTCTGGGTACAGACAATGACAACCCATGGTTGAAACCCACAATTCAAATCTCAATAACCATCTTTTGTGGTCCTAGCAAGTAACTCATGGGTCTGGGTCTGCACATGCATATACATTGATGTACTGGTTTGATGTCACATGCTCACCAGGCCCTTATGTTAGGCATGGAAACAACAACTGTGCTTTGGGTGGCTTGTGAAGTGTCGGGGGAGTGGAATCAGCTCAGCACCCTGAGCCAGCAGTCACTGTGTAGTGCGGGTTTAATCCCAATGCCCATCTGCATTTACCAATCTCATAAATGTGTAGCTGTTCCGTTGTTGATTACATACATAATATATTGTCATTTGGCCCTTAGCTCTCCTGAAGCTTGCATCCCAAGCTATGCCTCTAAGATCGTGCCATGCTGACTCTAAAACTGCAGCAAAGGTGGGTATTTGAGGCACTGCAGTCTGCAGCCTTTTTCATGTATGCTGTGTACACTCTTGAATCCCAGTCTACAAGTTTTTAAGTGGGATTCATGTAGAGCCTGATCTTTAGCCACATCACCTGCTGCTACCTATGTTCCTTCTCCCTCCCAGGTAAGCCCCACTTCATGCATTCGGAATTCACTCAGAGTGACCAGCTCTGCCTGTATTTTGGATGGTAGAAATATATGTGAAGCAGCCACTCAGTCCAGCAGGCAATGCCTTCCTCATGGGGTCCTCCCCACCATGGACCTCCAGGCTCATGGGCTGCTGCGCTGGCACAGCTACCTGGCATGGTGGCATTTGAATGTATACCTGCTGCACCACCTAAGAGGCTTGGACTAGTTACGTTGATGTGGTTGACCGTGGGCTTGGCTTGCTGGAGCATACATGCCTTCTGTAGCCACTAGTACAGTCCAGAAGCATTTTGAAATAATCGGTCTACCAAAATAAAAGCAAGTTCTCTTCACATACCTGCTCTAACTCCTCTTTGAGACCTAGGCCACACTACAAAAAATGTTGGGGAGTAACTCACTCTCTGCCCGAGTAGATCTTGCCTGTTTTAGTGTGGAGTGTGTCATAAAAATATTAATTACTGGTTGTGCTCTGCCATATTAAATCCACAAAGTATGTGTTTTACCATCAGAAACTAGATGGGGGTCACTTGTCTGCTTTTTCCTGCTTTGCCTATTTTGTAATTGTAAATCTTAGGATTGTAAACTGTGGGAAAGAGCATTGCTTTGTTTTGCAGCCATTGGTAACCGATGGTCAATGGCAATGATCCGTGTAACTGATTATGCACATGTAAAACAGTGTTGCAGAAATGATTTTGTCTGTGCAGCCATTTGTGCTAAGTGCTGTAAATACATTCATATGTTTACTGCTTTACAGAAAATATTGCACATTTTATCTTAGAATGGGACTGCCTCCCCATCTCCTTTCACTTTAAAAAAGTAAAGCTCCTTGCAAGTGGTAACTTATGGTTGAGAAGAGCTTTGATCTCTATAAATATTCTATAAATATGTATAAATATACTTTTTTAAAGCATGGGAGAAAAATTACAATGCATTCATGACAAGATACTCAGAAATCATTATACAATGGAATATGCACAAGTCAATAAAGATATAGTTAAATTTGTCTGTGGTGGTTTTGTGAGATGGATAACTTGCCTTGCCACTTTAACAATCTGAATTAAAAAATCACAGCCATTCATTTCTTGAAGTTGATGAAATTTCAGGTGCATAAATTCTAGAGCAGCTGTTGCTCAAGTTATGCCACCATGTGGTGGCAGCAAACACATGCAGAGGCAATCGTGACTATTTTACCCTGTAGCAAGAAAAAGGATTGAGTTACCTGGTCGACCATACAGTCCCTTGAAAAAAACCTGACAGATTATAGAGTAATGGCAATGACCTTTCTGTGCTCTCCAGGTGTGTGAGACCATAATACAATGGCCCACAGTGGCTTTGATGGGATTTGCAATCCAAAACGTGGAGGGATGACATTTGGGAAGTTTGAACTAGTGCAATATCCAGCTCAGTGCAGGTTGCAGCTAGACGACTTCTGGCCAGTGGCTGCCCAGCCTCTGCTTAAATTCCTGACCTCAAGGCAAGTCTGTTGTGCTGCTACTGTAAGGAGGCCTATTCTACTGTTAAGTTCGTAACAGAGCCTACTTCAACTTGCTGGAGTAGTGGCACTCTGCTGCATCTTCTGTATGAAAGCCATTCAATAGTCCCCAGTTTATCTTCTCTAGGCTAACTAGCCACAGCTTTTCCAACCATTTCTCACAAAGTTTCATTTCCAGGCACCTCGCCATCCTAGCCTCACTGGTCTGAGCATGCTGAGATTTCTCCGTGCAAGCCCCAAATCAGACCATACTTCAACTGTGGCCTAACAGAGTATAACAGAAGAGGACCGGGCTGTGGCCTGTGAAGGCATTACCAACCCCTCTCCCAGAAGCTAAACTGCACTTCTATCTCCTAGTAAACCTGCGATACACTAAAACGCACCTCAGTCCATTTCCAGTGTACCATTGTGAAGTTTAATCTCCCATCCTTATATCCATGCCTATGATTTTTTTTTTAAACTTTAGCTCTTACATGCAAGATTTTTCTCTTTCTCAAATGTTACTAGTTTTGGGCCCATCAAGATCATGTGAATCTTGATTAACTTCTTTGGTGTTGACTAAGCCTCCTAGGTTTATGTCATCTACAAACCTTGATACGCATCCCTTCGTTCTTCATGCAGGCTATTTCTAAAAGTTCTGAACAAAAGCTTTTACTACTTTTATTATTGTATCATAGTTATACTCTACCTTTCAAAGTCACCTGGTGTCTAGAGCCCCAGTCCAACACTCCTACCCACTAGGCCATACTGGCTCTCAAGTGGTCTGAAGATTTTCTTTCTAGCTTCAACAAAGTCTTGTGGAACCTTAATGTGGCACAACACAACACACACGTGTTAAAATTTAATATGGCACTAGATGCTGCCATTTTTAATGAAAATTATTTCTGGCTTGGTTTTGTTCATACGATTGCAGTCTTCTGGGCAACAGCGATGCTGAATGTACAAACTGGAAAAGGAAAGCCTTCAAAGTATGTTTATTGATACAATAGACAAGATGGTTCAGCTCTTAGGTCTTCAGGGGCACTGTTGGGCATAACCAACCTGTTTGCTTCTCTAACATGTTAGCGCAGCCTTCCTTAGCCTCCACATGTGCTGCACTGCAACTCCCATCACTCCCAGCCAGCAGCTGGCCACCTGGATCCTGAAAGCATGCATATCCTCCTATGGACACTGTCAGCAGCAGCTGCCTTACAGTCAGGTGATTCGTCCACCTCCAATATTGTTCAGTTGGCAACCGCTCTAGAGGGGCTCCTGGAGAGTCTTTGCATTACCAGCTCTGTTTAACTGCAGGTGACACTTAGCGCTTGACAGCATGCAACTCTGGAGCTGTGGTCTTCCAGGCACCAGTAGGTAAATCCACCAAAAGGCTTAGGTTGACCTGTTCCCTGAAGCAAGCTTGTCTGCGCAGCCTCTTCCCAAAGGAGCTGCTTCTGCAGGTAGCTTTACATACCAAAGTATGTATTGTACCTTGCAAGGAAGAAGAGAGTGCTGGCACGTACCTAGCCACACGCATGCACACGCAAATGTTTTCAGTGGCTTTGGCTTCAACTAGCTTAGTGTATGCTTTAGTGCACCATTAGCAAGCACGGACAGTAATTGATTCCTCCCCACCAAAAAACGGCTAACAACCTGATTTCGTACCAGTTCCACATCAGACCACAGACAGGATTCTGAGATCCTTCATTTTGGTTTTAGTTTCGGGGCCACTCAAAGCGATACACAGAGAAGCACCTAAAAACCAGAAGGTTCAGTTTCAATTCTATGAATACCATATATTGCAAGCAGAAGTTCATAGTGATGGAACAAGCTCAAGACGCTTGGAGGGGATTAGAGTGTGCTTCCTTTTTTCTTTTTCTTTTTTATTTAGGACTTTTAACAAGAGGGTTCTTAGTACACAGCAACAGTTAATTCCAAATACAATTTAAAAACTTTTAAAAATTTGTTCCCCCACTCACTGGAAGGTAGTTTAATGGCACACAAAATAAAACCAGCAACACAATCTTCCCTAGAATCCTGCACAGCTCTTAGACTTGATCCCCACAAGAGCTCAGAGAATATATTGCCGCTAGTTGTACAACTGCTCACTGTAAGAGTTGGTTTCTCTTAGGAGAGGTAAGGTCTGACACACCAATCAAAAACCCGTTGGTCCAAGCAATGTGGAACAGGCTGTGCCTGCTCTTCACAGAATCCCAACCATGAGCATTCAGCAAAGCCCCAGTAGAAATCACCCTGTGCCGTTCCCCATCAGTAGCTAGTAAACTCTGTAGGACTTAAAAATGAGAGCAGAAGGGCTGTTCTGCATAGATTCCATTTCCTGCTCCAGCACAGGCTGGACATGACATTTTCTGTTTTCAGGGTGTGCTGGGCTGCTGCCTTTACGAAGCTGCATATGCAGGGGAAAGACAGACAAATGATACCACCCTTTAATACTAAGCAGAGTATATATGAATCCCTCAAGAACTGGATACAGAGTAGACCCATTAACAACTAGTGGGTTGATAACTCTACAACCCACACAATATTAGCTTCAGACAATGGTGGATCCAATACTCTTCATCAGGAAACATAACAGACCCTCTTAATTCTTTGGAATTCCTTCTCTCTCCAAGATCCAACTTTCCAAAAATTAATGTTCCACCTGAAGAAAGACCTCAGATTTGGGCAACATCAGCTAGTTTCATCTTGTGTTTCAATACTACGGTAATTAACATCCAGTAAAATAGTCATGTCTAACACTGTTAGGTTACATGGGAATCAAATCTCTAGTGCTGTGAGAAATCATTCCTCCTGAACAAGACCTTTGCCATTTTTCTCTTATTTGGCACATCAACTGTGCGCAGGTTTTTAGGTATCTCTGCCTGCTTTTCTGGTCCTCCAAACAGTACGTGTGTGGGCAACTAAATGGCCAATTCTCAATTACTGAAAGGTCAATGCTAACATTACCTAAATCAGTACTATCCTCAATAAGCTTGTGATGTTTTCAAACACAATCCAGCAGGTACGAATTGGAAGACAGACATTACAGCTGCTAGCTTAACTGACTTCCTTTTTAACTCTGAGGCAGCACAAATGACACTGAAACCCATGTATATGTAGAAGTGTGTTTTCCCACCATACTCATTTTAAGTTCTCTTTCCTATGTGGGAAAAGCTTTTCTTTAGGCTCAAAACCCAGGGCAATAGAATAATACTGAGAAGAGCAGATCATTTAGACTTGCATCCAGCAGAAACCATGGAGGCTGGAAAACTAGACAACCCTCCTTGTGGATGTTGCTCCAAAAATCTTCACGCTTGAAAATAAAAGTTGCTCCTTTAATAGAATGGCTTGACTGTTGCCTCTTCCTTTTGCGGGGGAGGGGAGTCACAACACACACACAAGACCTGCAGCTGCTGCCCAGGTTTGTTCCGCTTGAAGCCTTATGAAAAACAAGCAGCTTCTCCGTGGTCTTCAGCAATGCGCTGTGATGAGGTTCTGCCTTTAGGCTATGTGACATTAACGGCCAGGCCTCTGTTTTCCCAAGACTTGCATGCAAGATTATACAAAGCAGTCAGATAAGGAGACCCCTGAATATTCTTTCGGGTATGACCCGGAAAGGGGGAGAGGACACACACACTCACACACAAACACATTAAAAGCAGACCATCCACCCAAATTTGCAACTGCACACCAAAATTAATCTTCTGAAAAATACACTATTAGCAACCTGGTGACAAATCTTTTGTAAACCTCTTCTCATTAAATTCTAAATGCTACTAACATAAGCAAAGGTAAATGACCCAACACACTAGCAATACCTCCGACTAAGGGTGTCTTCTCTGTGTCATGCTCAGACACCATGCGGAACAGAAGCAAAACAGCAGCTAAGCCTCAACGTGGCCTGCGGAAAACTTTCTTTGCCCTACTCACCCTCAACGTGCTGTGCAAGCCCCTCAGATTAGGAAAGAGAAGACAGAGAAGATAATGTATACAAAGGCAGCCCTTGGAAATAATAGCGAACAACCTTTGGGCCTAAAATAAAGAAGGCATCAAAATATTACCCTCCCCTTCCTGACCTAGGCAGACGGCTCTTTGTGGAGGGAAAATGTGTCCTCATGCTGTGACACAGACGCCAACGCTGGGCCAGATGGGTTAAAACACTGGTGGGGTCTATGTGCCATTACTGCATGGAGGGGAAAACAAGTGTGGAGAGAGCTGGAGCTACTTTATGGAGGAACAGATGCTGAGCAGCCTGACATAAGGCCATCCACGGGTCCCTTATGCTCTCCCCACAAAATACTGAAAACAGGATGAGGGATGATCGTCATTTTAACACCTGAATTTGGTTTTTTGACAGCACAACCCGGTGGGGGAAATTATTTCCAATTTCCCAGGCCCTCCCCCTCCCCCACTTTTTGAAGTAAACATTAAATTAAAAGAGGGAAAGTTGGAGGAAATTGCAACTGACTGTTGGAATACCCCCCTCACGGACTTGATATAGCATGCAGGCTATGCAACATTACATACATACAAAGTCTGATTCCTTTGGGCCTTGTACACAGCATCGTCCTTAGACAGCCTACAGAATTGTACAAAATAAAAAATAAGCATCAGGGCCAAGGAATCTCTTTACAACATCAGCACTGTGGAATACAAAGCATAAAACCAGCAGGAGGCGAGCAGTCTGGGGATGCCCTCTGCCGCAGTGCTGCAGGAAGAGGATCGGGGCCTGTGAGGCAGCAGGAGCCGCTGTGGCGGCGTAGAGCAGGAAGCCTTCCAGCGCAACAGGGCAGCACCGCTCTCCACAGGAGCCGCACGTCTCGTGGGTCTCTCCCCACGCTACTCAAGAGGCACGCCCATCCCTTACTCATCACTTCCCTGGCAAAAGCCCTTAAAAATGATGATGCAGTCTCAAAAGCCTCTCCAAACCATTTCTGCATGCAAGGAATCTGTCCGGATTGAAGGTATACTGGGTACCGTCCCTGGACCGTCTGTGCCTTTGCCATTGGATAAAACCTAAATCTAGGGGTTGGGACCTCACAGGTGCCCTGCAAGGGTTCAGAGAGAATGAATTTTCAACATGAATGTGTAGAAGACCGTTAGGGATAATGCCCAGTCAGCTGTATAATCTAAGAGGAATATGACATTTCCCAGAACGGCAAAGGAGAAACCTATGCACTTCTGATGTGAAAAATCAAAAGTTAAGGCAATCTGTTTTTGGAGATGAGAGAGGGCCAACTGAAAAAGCCTTGTCTTTGAGTCGCTGACCATCTCATACATGCAGGGCCCAATACCAGACATAAAGTGCATCAGTAATGGGAATATAATGTTCAATTTCTGTAAAGGGGTCGGGAGAAGCTTGCCTCACCAGAGTGGCCATCGAAGTGGAAGGGAGCTCCAGCTGCAGCATTCTCATTATGCTGCCGTCCTATCCTGCCTGCTCCCATCCTGCAGAGCTGGGAAAATTCTTTCAAGCACAGGAGCTGCCCTGCACCATTTCAAGAGAAAGGAAACCTTTTGCATCTCTTTGTCTGATTTTTTCTGACACATAATTATCAGAAGCATCTGGGGTACATGTGTCCACAAGCTTTGCCTTGGTGTATAAGCTAGACATAATCTGTCAGCATGATAAAATCCAGGAAAGCAGGACATGTGTGCAGGGGTGTGTCTTCGGCTTTTGTGTACCCCCCACACAAAAAGAATGTGACACAAAAGGATACCTACGCAGTGTGCCGCGGCTATCCTAGCAATCCAGCCACTCTCATGGCAGACTGCGCACATTCCGTGCAGGACACCTATCTCCTACATTCACCCAAGCAGATCCCACTAGTGACCCCATTACCTACAGATTTAATCAAGGCAGCAGCACTGCCACCCTGAGTTGGGCCAGTTTTCCCCAGCTTGGGCCCCTCTCTCCACTAAAGCTCCCAGCATTTGTGAGGTGGCTGGGGCTGATGGTAAGTGACATCTGTACCATCTGAAAAGCACCCGGCTGGGGAAGGTTGTCCTAAGTGTTGCACGTGTCTCTCTGTGAGTACTCAGATCACCCACAGGAGCAGCTGTGAAGCTGAGGGCTTCCACAGCCTAGGCTGGAATAGTGATGCTTGGTACCACCTGAAGCTTGTTTACGCTGCAAGGAGAAAGCAACACCAAAAGCTCCCCTGACTCTCTCATCATGGAGGCTAAGTCAATACGATCGATGCAGATTGAGAAGATAAATTCCCACAGAACCAAGCTGTGCTGGATTCGTGAATTTGGCTAGTTTGCATAAGAAAGTCTGGCTGGTACAACCTGTGGTCCAGATACATTAATCCACAAACACTATCTGAATAAATGCTCAGCAAATCAGTGTAAACCATACATGGATTATGATCGTATTCCATGCACTGGGGGTTCCCTCTGCCTGTGGTTAAGCAGCAGTGGAAGCATTGCAACTGGGACCGTAGCATGCAGGATGGGGGTAACCTCTCCCCCAGTTCCAGCATCCCAAAAGTGTTCCCCCTCCCCCCATTAAGCTACTTGCTATGGAAGAAACCAACCTACTGGCACCAATAACAGCTCTCGTCAGCAGAAAATAGCAGCTCCCAGGACTGTGCTGAGGTTTCCACTGGGGCCACAGCACAGGGGGTCAGGGTGAAACTCCCTCACTTCATGCCCAATCTCAGCTGGAAGCCTTCATGGCTGGCACATAATCAAAAGTAAATACACTTCATCTAATTTGACCCTAAAATTATGAAGCTGTTACAGCAAGCTTCCATTCACACACAGGAAAAATCACCCATCTCTGGTAATGAAAACAAAGGCAGCTAAAGCTCGCAGCAATATCTAATTAGCATTCGAAGAAAACCAGACATACGGCAGTCCTTTGAAATCCTGCTAAGATCAGCCAACACACTTGGACAAAATTGGCCTGCCTGCATGGGCTCTTTATGATATGCACCAACATCTGAAAATGGAATTAAAAGCCAATTTATAGCAGCTGATGGGTACACATGATGATCAATATTTGAGCTGAACCGTCTACTTTCAGCTGAAACACACACAAATAAATCCACTTTCCCCTTCTCTAGAGATATTCAACTCTCCCCTGCTCCGCTTCCCCAAACTATTAAACGTGAGGTAATTTCAGAAGGCTGCAGCCAGCCTCGATGTACAGAACCAGGCCTGATATGAAAATCCACAAGCTGCTGCTGACATGTGCCCTGAAAGCTACAGCCGAACAGTATGGAGCACATCAGGAGGGCAGCCATAATTCATTTCCCAGATCCTTTGCAAATCAGGGCGCAGAGTAAGGCTGCCTGGGGAGAGCTGCAGCGACAGCAGTGGCGCCGTGACACCATAGTGTTCAAGCTCAGCCTCCCTTCAAGACCCTCCATCCACTTCTCCAAAAATCCTGCATGATTTTTGAGGGGCTTCGCTTGCGATTTGCAAGGCTTACTATACTGGGAGGCTGCATCTAGGTCACCAAAACTAAGAGGGAGGCAACCGGAAAGCAGCTCCTTGCGTGCCCCATCAGGCTACATGTGCTTAACAACTGCTGAAGGGTTTGGGTTAGAGATGCAAGGAAGCGGCCCAAGCTCCAGTTGGTACGTGCACCCAAACGTCTGCCAGTACAAGGATGCTCTTCCCACAGTAAGGGTTTGGAGCAGGAAGCCGGGAAAGGAGAAGGGGGAAGGGCTTGTGGCCTACCAAAGCCAACCCTTCAGCACTGGCATCCAGGATGTCCCAATACCAGGGCTTACATTATTCCTGAGAAAAATCCCATGTCTCGATTGAATGGGTCACAATTTGAGCAATGGATCAGGTAACTGGAAAGCTCATTACATCACCCGATTCGACACTTGAATCAGTCAGCTTATTAGAATCTGTCATTCAGCTGAGCTGCTGCTGGCAAATGGAAGAGCCATTTCTTCAAAACAACTCAAATCACTATTTTATAAAATGTTTGGGGCAGGGGGGAGAAGAGAAGCAAAACAAAAAAGTAAGAGTGGTTTTGTTACAACGATCCTCCCTCCCTTCCTTCCTTCAGTTCACTTGCCCAGGTCTCCCCAGGTGCTGGTAGAGATCTGGGGAGCCCGATGCTCTCCTGGAAAGCAAGGTGCCTTTCTGCCTCTTGCCACGGCGGTCCTCTTCACTCCGAGTAGTGCATGATGGACTCCACATAGTTCCCTGGGAAGAGTCCTGTCACTGCATTCATAACACCCTCATACCAGCCATCATCATTTTTCTTAATGACGTAGATGATGGCACCTTCCTGAAAGGAGAGTTCATCCTCCTTGTCCTTCGTGTAGTCATAGATCGCCACAACTAGAAACAAACAGAAAAACCTCATCAAGAAATCTCTGGGGAGCAGTTGTCTGGGTTGCAGCAATTTCAACAGCACAGAGCTTTCAGCTAGGGGGCCTCCTTCCAAACAGGAGAACTTCTCTTCAGTGGATGTAATGCTCGTGCAAGGAGCTTGCTCCCCGCAAAGCCAAAAGCCATGTTTGGGATTCATAAACATTTCATTCTGCAATGACCGAATTCTAAATGTACAGTTAGGACAGCTATGTTGCCTGGCGGCACTCTAACTGCAGCACATGCAATGCTTAATGAACTGGCTGCCACTGGCGGTCCGTGCGCACAGCTCTGCAAGGAGAGTTCCTGAGCACAACCTCCCCACCATTTCATATATGCTGTTCTTACCAAACAACAGGGTAACTGATGCCCGTGTCAAGCCTGAAAGCATTCCCCTCTGATTGTTCTGCAATCCCAAGGAAGGGACTCTCGAGCCAGCTCCCACGTGGCTAGCCCTGGTCTTGCCCTGTGGGATGCCACACGGAAGCTTTAAGCAGGCTGGTATCTGAGAGACGCCCCACACTGCAAAGCATTCAGCCTGTGGCTCGATGTTTAGCAGCATCTGACACTTGCAGGAAGTGGCCATTCCACAGGCACATTCTACTCGACTCACGGCACTGAGATGGGAGCTTGTGCCTACAGTTGCCGGCAAACCTGCCTTTCTCCAAGTACGTCCGCGGGGCCCAAGGAGGATCCTCTTCAGCATAAGGGTCGCTATATTCCACCACAGCTGCCTCTTCCTCCTCGTAGTCTTCTGGAGGAGGTGGTGGAGGGGGCGATTCATCAAAGACTGGCTCATCCACAGGGGGTGGGGGAGGGGGGGTTTCTGAAACTGACAAAAATGTCCATTAAAGTCTTGTACACCACTTCCAGTTCATGGGAGGGCACTGCTATTTGGGTTGTCCTTTCTACTCTGGTAGACAAAAATATACCTATTCTCCTCAGAAGAGCCAAGGATAAGAGAGAATTGACCGGTAAAGTATCGACAATCAAGTTAAAAAGCTCCTCCTTTTCTCCTGGGCTCGAATCCAGCACACAGTCTCAGTGGGACAGCAGACTTCTCTTTGGAGAGAATTGTGACCTGCCCCGTGTTGCCTGCTGCCAGCACCTCCCCGTTGTTCCACACAGCTCGGGGTGGGGGGGGGGCAATTCCTGATTAGCTCCATTTCCCCTTGCAGGAGAGCTCCCTATGCCCCTCAAACATGTACAGCAGAAACGTGTTCCGGGGGAAACACCTCAGGTGTTCTCAGACTCCAACCCCCATCAGCCCTAACCAACAGGACCAATATCATGGAAAATGTGAGCTGCAGTTGAATATCTGGAGAGCACCAGGTTGCCTGTCACACCAGAGAGCATGAGGCTAGTAGGAGCCCTTAGCAGCACACATTGCAAAAAGGCTGTCATGGCTGCTGACTGGGGCCTGGGCAGAATTTACGCATTCACTGAACAACAAAGGAAGTACAACCCATAGGGGATCGCCTGTTGCTCAGTGATATTGTATCATGCACCCTTGGCAAATACAGGAGAATTTAAGTCAAGATTTTTAAAGCCTCTTTAGCTTAATTGCAAGCAAATAAAAAGGCAGACTTACTATTTTCCTGAACTCTGGCCACAAATCCCATTAGCGGTAACTGAGGAGTTACCTGTAGGATGGATGGAGGAGGTGGTGCAAGAGATACTACAGTGAAGGAGCAAAAATAAAGAAAGCCTCTGATTAGAAACATGAAGGATCAGCCAGGCACTGTGCCTTCCCCACTACATGTAATGGAAATGAAGAACATAGAAAGGAGGAAAAATTGTCATTGGACAATTTAAACAAGCTGCCAAGGACAATGCTGACGTTTGCTTCAAACTGGCAATCAGGCATGGCTTTCTTTGGAAGTTAATGCACAGTTGTTTCTGCAACAGACTTTTTAAAATGTGAGCCACCTCTTATAGTCACCGCAGTATATTCTTGAAGCAGCTGCATCTGAATCGCAGACACCTTTGGTGATTAAGGAAGATCACTCCATGTGGGAAATGGAAATATTCCCAAATCCATATAGTTTTTCCAGCACTTCATTTTTGCACCATCTTGAATAAGTGCTGCCAAAGACAAACATTTATAGCTTCATATTTAACTTACAAAATATTGAAGGCACAGAGGAACACACACAATGCCTAGTTCTTAGTTTCACTGAAAAAGTGCAGGGCTGGGACTTGTAATCACTTTCTTCAAGGTGTCTGAATATATTGAAAACTATGAATAGAAGGGCTTTAATGAACTATATGTTCGGATGGCTTAAACAGGATTTTAGAAGGCTGCTTATGGGACTAAGCCCAATATTGTGCGGGGGCTGAGAGCAATAACTGAAAAAACCGAGAAGAATACTAAAAAAGCTGATTCCATTTCTCAATTTCTTTGTTTTTCACTGTACAGTTTGAGTGTATTTCGGAGGACATGCTGGGGAGCTGCCAGCAGATGCAGTATGGCAACCATCAGAGTCATGTAACGCCTAGAACACCTTCCATTGAGGTCTACATGCTGGCCAGGCACTTACATTTGCAGAAATATTTTTCTGCTCATGGTCTCTCAGCATAAAGTAACAACTCATGTTTGTAAAAGCATTTCTTGCCCCACAGTCTTGACCATTCATTTTGCTGATACCACAAGCAGCCTGATTGCTCCCACCATCTTCAGAAGTTTGTCTTCTGATTAAAGTATTTTAACCCCTTTGTGGGTTTTCTCCATGAATCTGCAAAAGGCCCCATCCACTGTCAACACACCCGAACATTTAGAACTGTGACTTTCTACTGTATTTCAGACCACTCCACCCAATGCATTTTGAATGTGGACATGCTTCGCATTCAACCGCAGGTGTAATAGGTAAGTGCAGGTGTGTGCACCTTTGGGGAGTGCAGGCGACAGACAGGTACAGGCGCTGAAGAGGTACAGAAAGACACAAATGCTGTAGTGCAGTGAGTCAAGAAGGCTCTCTGCAGATGGCATTATTCGTATATTCATGTGTGTGTGCACCATGTGCTCCACCTGGGTATGTGGAGCCCCACTTCAACACACAGAGCCTGGGGAGAAGGCCAGAAGACTGAGACCAATGTTTATAACTCATATTGTATGTTCAACATTTGTAAAACATCCCCCTGCCTCTCCTACACCCCAGCCATAAGCCTTCATCTTCTGCATGAAAATAAACTCAAGCAAGCTTTGTTAGCAATTAGCTACAGCTGAGTCTTGCAGAGAGGAACAAATCTATTCTGACATAAGGTTTTGCCATCTACTGACCTGTTCATCAGATCCATGAGATGCTACAGGGATTTTCAGGGTTTTTTTATATGGTACATGTGTGTGATGGGAATGGGGGTTTATAAATAGTGAGGTAAGAAAGAAACTTAATGAAGGAAATGAAAGTAAGGATCCTTCTTTCCATAAATGATGTCACAGTTCTACCTGATCCAACTGCATTTAAAAACAAACCAACAAACAGCTCCACTAGCTGACTAGACAGCAACTCTGGACTACACTGCAGTGATGCCATACACTCCTCTCCCTCTCAACAATCTGGGTACAACAACAGACCACTTGCAGTGCTGATGCACGCCACAGTCATAGATAGCAGAAAGTTCTGTCCTTTTGCATGTTGTAACACCAGTAGTACTAATACTCCATACAAAGGAGTATTTTGAAACTTTTGAAGCCACACGTTTTCATTCCAACAACAACCCACTTTGTACAGAGAAGGAAACTGAACAAACTCCAAAAACACGGGTGTCAAGGGCATACAAGGAAGGAGGGCAGGATCAGACAACATATCCCTCACAAACACACAAGCCATAAGGCAGTCATTTACACAGACACACACAGAGGTTTCCTTACCACACAAACCCAACCTGCCAGTGAACTACAGTGGGCTGGCTGTTTGTGAACAACTCACAGTGTGCCCAGCAGATGATCAAGGCCCCCAACACTGACTCACCCTCCCTTCCCTTTAGTCCCACAGCCAAAGTTCAAAGAGTCTCCAGGGAGGGCCAAAGTTGCCTCCTCTTCCCCTCTGTGAGTGCAGACAGACTAGCAGCAGTCGGGGCACTGGTTTGCTGCCACAAACAGGCAGGTAAGGAGGCAGCGCAAAAGAAGCACCACTGCAGCACCCCCAATGAGCACAGGGGGAGCCATGGGGTGGGGGGGCACCACCCTACCCGTTCTCATAGTGGGTTTGCCCCAAGCACATGAGCAGCAGCAGCAGCAGCAGCAGCAGCAGCAGCAAACCCTGTGGCTCATGAGCAGACAGGCTGGTCTCTGCTCCTTTTGAACTGAGAAGGGAAAGGGAGAGACGTGAAATGTCTGTGAGCTACCAACAGCTCCTAGGCCATGCAGTGAAGACCCAGCCACCAGAAGAAACAACATCTCATGGTTTTAAAAAGTGTTGGGCTTACTTAGAACAGGACTATGGTTCAAATAGCAGCACTTTATAGTGGGAAACACCCCCCTCCAAAATCAGGGAATAGTATAACAGTATTTGGAACACTGTACCTTATTTATGTTTGTGAGCCGCCCCGAGGCTTCAGCGAATGGGGCGGCATAGAAATTTTCTGAATAAATAAATAAATAAATAAACAAACAAACCAACCAACCAACCAACCTATGGATAAGATCTCCACTAAAAATCATGTCAAAATGTGAACAGTCTGACAACTGGTGAGATGTTTTCCATTCTTAATGCATATAGATTCTTTGAATACTTCCTGTAGATGGTCTGTAGAACCATTTTCATGTCCAGTATTAATGAAGTTTATTTAGCTAACTAAAATACGTTGCCATATGGTACCCACCATATTTGATATCTTCACTACCAAATGTAAATGCAAACAAGACTTGGCAACCTTATAAATCTCAACTTTAATTTTGCAACTTTCCTTCTTTTAGAAATTCATTGCACAACTTAAAAACTTTATCAAAAGTTTTTAAAAATTCAGGTTAGGACTTGCAGTAACCCACCCTCAATTTCTCTCCAGGATAATCTAGTTTAAAAATGACATTGTTGGGACTTGTGCTTGGGACTTCTCTGGCCCAGTTCTTTGATTGCTGTTTGCATCAGCCAAGGAAACAGTAAGCACGTTTCACATTTGCACGTGTGTTTGTAGCCAGGCATTACCAAGGAGATGGAGCCACAAGGGCAGTAAGCCAGCATGACCTACACACACAACCCATTAACATGGGATTGGGTTACAGGCGCCACAGCACTAGCATCTTTCTTGGCAACTCAAGGTAGTGAATTCTGCTGCAGTCCATCTCACCTGGGTTCTGGCTGTAAAACGGTCCTCCATTGACCTGGTTTTGAAGGCTATTCTGTGAAGTGATGGAGGGAGGGCGCCTGTATGGCAAAGAACCCCCTATTGTTGGAGGGGTGTGCCGAGCAGCAGGTCTGTTCATGCTGTAGAACTGAACAGGATGCCCTGTTTTGAAAGAAGAAAAAGATACAGGTGTGCAAAGGAAATGCAAACATTGAAATCAAAGCCTGAATTTTTACAGATACATTTAAAATTTGCCTCAAGAATTTTTGAAAACAATGCTGTTTATACTGATGCCAATTCAGACAATTCCATACTGAGCAATAATACAGAGCCTTTCATTCTTTGCATTAATAATTCAACTGACATAGGAGGCCCACTGAGCAGGATTTTTAAAAATGTATTACTACACACTGCATTTATATCCTGTCATTCTTCCTGAATGACAAAATTTAAAAAGGAAACATAATGGAAGATTACCAGGTAATCAAATGAGAAAATGTGTAGAGCATTTAAAAAGGAGGAAAGATCACAGAGCTGATTGTTAGTTCCAAAGGACGCAACTAATGTTCTCTGCTTGGTTTTTCAGCACTCGACATTCAGGCCAAGTACACCCATGCATGTCCATCACTTGATGACCAGCAGGTGTAACTTTTACATCAAGATAACCACAATGCTTCCCAGAATAAATGGTTTACATGTTTAGCAGGGGCTCAAATTATAGAACAATCCATATATTCATCAGCCCTCAGTTGTTCTAAGGCTTCCCCAATCACAGAACACTGAATTTAACACATAATTACTAAACAGCCTTAGCTTCAGCAGCTGTCCACCCCCACACTTCAAATCCAAAAGCAATGGGTTGGTACAGCCTAGAGCAGAGTAATACTGGCTAATCAGTTTCTTTCTCTAAATATATAAATATCTTAGGGCAAAATCCTATGGAAGTTTAGATTGATAAAAGTCCTACATGGCTGGCTGGAGAATGCTGCAAGGTAACAGGCCATTTTTCTGTCTAAACACACATAGCCCTGTGTCCTTAGACTGTCATCACTTAAGTTTCATCACCATATCTCAAAGCCTCTCAAAGCTATGCCACAGATTTCTGATGCACAAGGACTGATACAATATTTCCAGAAAATGTTGCATTTAGGTATCTGAAAGTAATTTATAAATAAGTCATCAAAATTAATGAACAAGATAATACAAAAGCAACCTGCAAAGAAGTCATCAAAATTAATATACCATTGTTCTGAATATAAAAATGAAGAAAAGGCTTTAAAGCATATAAGGAGCTACAGTTTTAAAAGAGACCTGCACAGAAATACAGTACCCCAAATCATCCAGTATCACAAGCTGTACCATTACAGCAGCTAAGAAAGAAAACAGTAGATAAACTGTAGTGCTGTGACTGTAAAAGCTAAACCAAAGCACATACTGGTGTTTGACTAGTCACAGAATCAATCAGGCATAATATCATTTGCCAAGCTTTCGCTTCCATTTCAACTAGGTATTGAAGTAAAATGAATGCTCCTATTCTTTCAAGAACTCATGGAAAGCCAAAGTTACTGGTCCAAAGCACATCATATTGCTCCTCATATTTTAGACCCAGGATTTTGCTAAGCATACAATTTGATAATCCATAACTGAAGAAATCCCTTTTCCTGAAAATGACAGAGTATTCATGAGATTTTAATACCAGGAAACAAAATATCACTCTTTCCAGAGGGGAAAAACTTACACCAGACTAAGTATTCAACAAAATCTGAGCAAACTTAGGTAGCCAACACATCCTGCTTCAGCTGCCTGCAAAGAGCAGCAGAAACTCACCTGCAGAAGGAGCGGAAGAGGCAGCAGGGGGAGTTGGAGAAGTGAAGCCATCAGCAGGGGGCTGAGCCCCTGCAGCTGCAGCAGCATCTGGGGCAGCAGCAGTCAGGGCGGGAGCAGGAGTGAGAGGAGTGGGAGCGGGGGCAGAAGCAGCAGGAAGGGGAGAAGTACCAGCTGAGCTGGCAGGGGCTATGTGGAAAAAGGAGGAAGAGGAGGAGTTAAAAGAAGTTCATAAGGACTTCAGGTTAGCAAGGATTAGAAAAAAAGCTACTAGATGTTCCAAAAACCCTTAAGTTACTAGCAAAAAGTGAGGAGGAGGGTTAGAAGAATTATGCTTGTGTTCAGAAAGTGGATAACTCTTCAGTATGCGGGGGGGGGGGGGACCAGGAGCAAGAATACACCTTGCATAGAAGCAAAATTTACCAATGTAAAGCATCATCTTATATGTACTCGTGTTATACAGATTTAGCTAATTCTCTCCTTCATTTGGCACACAAAACTGCAGCTCATTTTAGAAAATCAGATGTTCAGCAGAGGAAAAGCTCCATCTTCCTCTGTGTTTTTACCACAAATACTGATTTTTCTCATTTTGCTGAGTGTGTCAAGAAGCAATACCTAGTCCTGCTTAAACAGAGTGGGGAAAGGACAAATGTCTGTATTTCTGCAAAATATAAATAATCTTCAAGTGGATGGTAGTACAGATCAACCCATAATTTCCCTGTCTTGGCCCTGCAAGAATCTTGCAATTTTGTAAGGAAGCAGAAAACTATAAATTGAGGCATATCTGCATTGCCTTATTGTATTCTGCAAATTAGAGTGGAATCAATTATACTTTATTGATTGCATCATGGTTTTTCCTCCTCTCAGCACCAAGTTTCATCCAAGTACCAAATAAATGAGGCACTGAATCAACAACCCAAGTAATTTCAAAATACTTTACTATTCATAATTCTGTAACATTACTTATAAAAAGGATAATTCCATTTTCAATTGGGGAGGCAGCACTTGTATATGACAGTAGTGTAATTGTTTAGTTCCATAGTTACTTTACACTGATCTTCTTCAGATCTCCAGTAGGTTGTATGCTTTAAAATGCAGACCTAATTCAACAATTACATTTGCCATGCCCACAATCTAGGAGTTAAATTATATGAAATATAAAATGAATATTGGTAAACTGGGAACCCTACTTATTATGCAGAAATTCTGGAAAGAAGAATATTACCATAATATTATTTCCCTGCTCCTCCCTACTCTACATGTTAAATTATGCAAACATAAGTTCATGGGATGCACACTGGCTTTTGTACTCAGAAGGCTCCCAGAATCCATCCTGGGCATTTCTAAGTGGGTCTGGGAAAGGAAAGCCACAACTGCCAGCAAGTGCAGACAGCACTGGGCTAGAAGGACTAGTGGGACTGACTCAGAATGAAGTAGGAGCCTGTGCTCGTAAATTAACAGCATGCTTGCACTGGGTGAAAACACCTTGCCCTGCACATTGGTTGCCCTTGATCCGAGTACTTTGATTAAGCAGCATCTTTTACAGTAAAACAGTGTTGTCGAAGCCCAGCATCCATACAGTCTTCTGTATACACACAGAGAGCTTTTCAGTCATCCCCTTCTTGCCACAGTGACCATCCCATCCCATTACCCCAAAGGCTTCCCTGAAAGATGGTGCTCCAGTAGGCGCAAGGGGCTGCCACTAGAGGGAAAGCATACGATCCACACCCAGTGCCACTGTAGAGGAATTTTGTATGCCTGCACAGGCCTCTTGGGAACTCGGTCCAAATGTATTTCATGCACTTTATTCAATTTTGGACAAAACTGAGATTGAATTCCAACCACCGCACTTCTTCCCGCACTTTCTTCTCATTGACTTCACACATTCGAGCCTTATGCTCCTACATATGCATATACTTTCTATTTGCACAATAGACTACCATTAATATCCAACATTGGAAAACAGTATACATTAAAGGAAGTGAAAACACTGGAATAAGGAGACACACAAGCAATGATCTTTACTGCATAGAACAGAAAACCTTCTAACTGGTAACTGGCACAGGGAGTGGGTGCATTACTGGAAATCCTGGAATGCAGCCTCATACCCAACCTTCAAGCTGAGTTCTGTGAATTGGGACTCAGAGTGTTTGCTAAGGCATGAAGAGGCAAGTTGTGGTAATAAAAACACAGCGTTGTACCAAGTGTTGCAAACATTCCAAAGTAAAGCAAAGCACTAATTCGTCTTCCAAGTTTACACAGCACAACAAAAATGAGCCAGCAGAAGGTGAGAGGGAGCTGAGCTTTACCTGGATACACACTGGGAGGGGACGGAGTGGGGACAGCAATAGGGACTCCCACACTTCCACTTCCACTGTTCTCTCGACTGCTGCTCCTACTGCTGGGGTGGCTCCCTCCACTGCTCCCGCTGCTGCTAAAGAAATAAAAACCACCAAGGTATGTACATGCTATTCCATGCTGGACACACGGTTTGATAATAGAAGGTTGCTAAATGTGCAATTCTGCAGACAAGGAAGCACATGATGAAGTCTTTGGCAATGCCTAAACTAAAACTGGGATGCACCATCCAAGGTAACAGCTGCCTGCTCAATTACAGGAAACCGCTTCCAGGAGGCTTTCCAATAGCCCTGATGTTATGGATTCTCAGATGGAAAGGGGGCCAAAATCCATAAGGCAGCTGCTTCTATCTGCACTCTACCAAGAAAAGCACTTAGGAACAAATTTTTCAGAAGCACACCATGAAATCTCACCAATATACTATTATTTTTATTATTTGCTGTCTGAGGCTGACCTGTTGTACAGATCGATTTCCACAAAACAGACTATTTTACCAGAATCCTTTTCCAGCTATTATATGCCTTCTGAAAGTCCACAACGATAAATGACATCAACCACACCTCCTGTAGTTAACTGAATATTTGTTTGAGGTACCAACATTTTCACAGGCATCAAGTTCTCACTAATGTTCAACATAAAAATTGGTTTCAAAAACCTTGCATTGGGAAGTTGCAATAAAGCCTCAGAATTGTATTACTCTCATTTGCAGGCACCAGATTTTAGAAACTGGGTGGAAAAGCAAATAATAAAAGTTATAAATAAAAATAAATGTATTAGATACAGTAGTACTCAAGTCCTCATTTCTTGTGCTTTAATTATGTACTGCTTGTGAATGAGCTCTTTCTAAACAAACATCGCCACACTGTACAATATGTTGCATAAGCAGCATGGTTTCCCTGGAATGCCCAATGGATTTCCCAGGAAATCACATGAATTCATGAAATTCTAAGTGAAGGGGTGGGGTAGGGTGTTAAAAGCAGATTGCTATAGACTGCGTTATGTGTCGCAATTACTGTTAATATTTGGTGGAGGATCAGACTGAGTACCTGTAAGTGCGATTCCTCTGATTCACAGAAGCTGTTCTAACAGGGCTCTGTTGCGAGGGAGCCATATTACGGGTAGGGCTAGGTACATAGTCATTTGGTACCACTGGAGGACGCACTGGCTCCAGTGTGCGATAGGGAGAGTGACGCCTACACAAGAAAAACATATGTATGGAAGCAATTTCAGACAATGAAACACACCAAAGACCTCTGGGCAAGGCAGAGTAGAACTGCTCATGGTTCAGTTTGATAATGCACGGGGCAGGATGCAGTCCACCCTGCGTACACCACCTCTGGAGAATTTCCTTAGGCTTGACACGAGCCCAGTTCTCCTACTTCCCCTGCTGATGTGCAGGCAAGCAGCCCAAAATGAGGTCTGTGCATGCCTCCTATGTCCTCACCAAGTTCTCCCTCTCACCCGAAAATGTGTTCAGAGCACTGGTAACCTGTCCTGAGCAGCAGGCAGCCTGCAGGAGGATATGGGAGGCACGCAGAATTTCTCACTCCCCTTGCTGGTCTGTCATGCTGCCTCTGCCATGCCCACGCATGCAGACTGAGGAGCTCAGGGGAAGCACAGAGAGAACAAGACACCACCAAGCCTACCAGAATTTTGGACACACTCACACTCTTGCCCTCAGTGGACCTAACTGGGCCTGTGGAATTTCTGTAATCATGTAATACAGGATAGTCCCGCTGATTACATTATATTCCATGTATGCAGCCAAAGATAGTGTAGCACTACTCATAGTTTAAACAAAAGAGCAAATGGCTCCTGCAGAAAGAAGTACTCAACCCAATGGCTTTCCACTACCTCCTGTAACTATAAATATCTTAACTCTTTAAAAAGTTGAGACAGAATATACCTCAAGACCCCACAATGCAAGTTTTAAGCACCTATGAGGCAACAGGAAAGTTTTTTTTTTCTAAATCTTCCCCTTTGCATACTCCCCATCCACCTCTTGATACATATGAAGTTGTACTTACCCAATGGTTCCTTTCCCTGACATTGGTGGGCTGGGTGGTTTCTGGGTGGGTGGTGTGGTACGAGGCAGACCACCCATTTTCATATTCTGTGTACTAACCTGCATGAGAAGTAACAGGAAGAAAAACAAAGCTCACTGAAACTCCTCAAAAAAAAAAAAAAGGATCAAACAAGATTCCTTTGAGAACTGATCTGCAACATTCATGTAGCAAGGAAATGTGTACATCATTATTTTTTAAAGAACATCAATGTCCATGCACATATATTCAATTTCTACCCTGCCCAAAGTGAGTAGCTGCTCTCGAAGAACCCGTGGCTGCACAATGCACAGAGATGTTATGCTGACTGCATTTGCCTTTAGGCCATCACATTTAACATAAGATCACTGGCAATGTTTGGAGTGTCCTATCTCAGTGTTTGGACAACACAGTAACTTTCTGCTACTACTGTGACTGACCAAGCATGCTGGTGTCTGCTGCTCAGTTAGCTCTGTCAAGCTGCATAGATATGTGTTGCCAGTGGAGCTGCTAAACAAGCCATGGATACTTGGATTTGTATCCAAGCATGGGACTCTGGTTTATTGGTCTTCAAACAAATGTAAACCATAAAGCAGGACCTGTCCTTGGCTTTTGGGGGGAGTAACCAGCAGGAGTTCTCAATCCAGGGCCGACCGTGAATCTCAGGTGACGCATCCTCGACTTGTTTAGCCACTCCCACTGGCAACAGCGGCCAAGTGGCGCCATCAAGCAGCATGCACCAGCACAGTTACTCATTGGTTTTGGTCTAAAGAATTCTGGCTTATCATGGCATCCAATGAAACTTTGCTTACTAGGTTTAACTTAAGAGTCACTTCACACAGCATATTTCTAGCAGTGCGTGGCCACTCAGAAGTCAGTTCCATTGAGTTCAGGGGGTTTATTCCAGGTAAGTGGGTGTAGGATTACAATAACATGAAACTATTAATTGCATAATCTGAAATGAGTTATTCAGCTGCATATACAGATACATTCACCTAAGTGCTGGGATTGGCCGGGGCTTCCTACACCAAAACTAGTGGTAACAAAGGCAAATTTGCCATACCATAATGCAAGAAGGGTCCCACAGGTATCACATGACTTTCAGGAAACCTTATTTGTTTCTGATTTCAGCTTTGCATGGAATTTTACTAGATGTGCCCAGAACAGGAAATCCATTAAGTATGTTACACTCTTACGATAATTATAAAAGAAAGAAACAACAGTCAACAGAGGTTATGATTCCTTAAATACAATTAATCTTGTATCCCCACTTCTTAGGAGGGATACTGTGCCACAATGAATGCCTCATTCTCCTGAAAAAGAGGATATGTTCCAAACGAATGGAAGCCAATATTACAGTGGGATGTATTAGGAGTAGTTATATATAAGAAACAGTATAGTTTCTTCTTTTTTTCTTCCCTCTCTATGGTTATGGGGGCCAAAATGATGTGTGTGAATCCACATAAAGCTGCTTCTCACAGAATAGCACAGGTATGGTTGTTTCCTGGCAGAGGTGGGAAAGGGCAGCAGAACATGGGAAGGTGGCATTTACTGGGTCAAACCAATTGCCATCTGGGACAAATATGGTTGACACCAACTAGCAATGGCTCTCCAATGTTTCTGGAAGGATTTTTTCTAGCTCTACCTGGAGATGCTAGGAATTGAACCTGGGACCGTCACACACAAAGCAAGCAATATACCACAAGCTAGGATCCTTCCCCAAACTTGCCCTACAGCATATTAAACTTGTAGCTGCAGTTTTAAAAACTATATAAAATTGAGGTGTATCACTAAAGCAGTCCAGTCTAGTTCAGTTAAAAGTAGATGCACACAGATCTTAAAGGTCTCATTCATATCAATTTTAAATTATCTTTTTATTTTTCAAAATGTATTATAAATGGTTATATAAATAAGCTTCATACTTCCCAGTAACCGGGATGAAAATAAACAGAGAAAAGATGAAATTGTTAGTAAAAAAATCTCACACAGGAGCAGAGAAAAAACTCTGGTAGATCTTCAAATTGTTAAAAAGGTTAAATATTTGGGAATTTTTCTTACAGCTAAGTGTACTACATTGAAAGAAGACGATGATAAACTATCTAAGGAAATTAAGAGTGATTTGGAAAAATGGGCTAAATTGCAGTTATCTTTGCTGGGAAGAATAGTGCTAGTTAAAACGAATATATTACCAAAGCTTTTATTTCAAATGATTCCCATAAAAATTGATAAAATATTTTTTGATGATTTAAATTCTCAAATCTCGAGATTTATATGGAAAAAGAAGAAACCAAGGATTAAATTAAAAATGCTCCAAGAGGCTAAAGAGAATGGGGTTTTTAGCCTTCCCGATTGGATGTTGTATTATCAAGCTTCTGTTTTAACGTGGCTAAAAGAATGGATAACTTTAAGAAATAAGAGAATTTTATATCTTGAAGGGCATCATTTGCAAATGGGTTGGCAAGCTTATATGTGGTATGAAAAGTGTAAGGCACATGGTTGTTTTTTAAATCATTACATTAGGAAATCATTAATGTCGGTGAGGGAAAAGTTAAAGACAAAATTGTATAATAAATGACCAAGATGGCTTTCACCTATGGAAGCTTTTGTATATCCAAATGCATTGAATTTCGAAAAGATTGTGAGATATGATGATATTTTGGATAATGATGGAGGACTGAAATTGAATCAAGAAATACAAGAACAAGGAACTACTATTTCTTGGTGGCATAAGGTGCAGATACAATCAAGATATGCTAAAGACTGTAGAATGTGGGGCTTCTATAAGGACTTAACAGCATTTGATCAGGCGATTCTTAAATCAGATGAGAAAATGATTAAAAGATTATATAACTTCTTACTAGATAAAAGAATGGAAGATGAACAGGTTAAGGAAACTATGATAACTTTGGATATAATATTGAATTAGAAAAATGGCAAAAGCTGTGAGAAAAAAATATTAAACATTAGCAACTTCATATAAAGAAAACCTATATAAAATATTTTATAGATGGTATCTGTCGCCAAATAGATTAGCTAAGATGTTTCCAAATATGTCAAATGGATGTTGGAAATATAAATACAAACTGGGTACTTTCTATCATATGTGGTGGACCTGTGATAAGGCGAAAAAATACTGGATTAAAACACATAAATGGCTTGAGGAAATGTTACAAAAATCTTTGGCATTTAAACCTGAAGTTTTCTTATTAGGTATTATACCTGATGATGTTAGCAAACAAGTAATGTATTTGACTCTACATGTAATCACTGCAGCGAGGATTGCATTTGCCCAATACTGGAAGAGTGTCGTGGCACATAAACAATCCACACTTTCAGGAGCAATAAAACTACAGTCCTTTAATGCTAATTGTCTACAAGATTTACAACTCTATAGATAAGCTCTCCAATTGAGGCCCTTGGTATGCAGATGTTAACCCTCTAATGGCTTCTCTCCCTGAGCCCACGTGGGATTACTCTTCTAAGTCACGCCTTTCCTCTCTCTTACCAAATTCTGTCACTGTTCATATCTGCGTAGAATCCGGCAATTGGTTGCTCGAGAGAAATCCACCACGCCCACTGTGTCTTCTGTTTCATGCTCAGGAGAATCAGCATCAGAGGGGGAAGGAGCAGTTTGCCCTGCCTCCTTCCGAGTAGAACCTGCAGCCTCCTCTCTCTCGGGACTCTCTGGCTTAGATGAGGGCTCAGGAATTTTGCTCAATGGGCTGGGAGTCAGAGGGAGGTGCAGCTGCTTGCTCATCCGCCCCCAGGCTGGGTTGTGGGGTTGGCTTTTGGGCACAGGGTGTCACACACAAGACCTCCTCGTGAGTCACTGTCTCTGTCGGGGCTTCATGCACGACACAGAGTGAAGAGCCACCTACCAACAAACTGATCCTAAAAAAGATCTTGGACTGTGCAGAAATGGACTGACTTTGTCATTGAAGGAGAAAGAAGATACAGACGTCTATCAAACTTGGGACTTTTTTTATTACTGGCTAGAGAAACAGGGCTTTGCATAGATTTAAATATGTTTATAATTTAACATAAGAAGAAAAAATGTGGGGGGCTGACCCAGTAGGTCTGATGTTTCCGATGACTGGTGTTGTTTTTAGCTTTGTGTGCGTGTGTGTGTGTGTGTGTGTGTGGGTGTGTTAGGTTTATTTAGAATAAAACTTATTCAAAAAAAAATAAGCTTCATACTTAACATACATAGTTTTACTTGTGACCGCCTAAGCAAACACTGATATGTCTGACTTTTTAATGAGTTTTTAAAACTTCCTAGTATTTATTGCCACAAAAGAATGATAATATTACCAGCTTTTAATTCTGTTATAGATCACCTCAGTTATTAGGAAATGGTGGCTGTTTTATTGATCAATTTCATGAAATGCTGATGACAGATTAAATACAGGATGCTATAAATATGAGGAATGAATAAAATGTATGTCTCACGCTTATCAGCATCGGTGAGAACTGATCTAAGAAATAAACTTAATGGCTTATTTCCACATAAATCACAAACATGAGACTACTGTGATGACTTGCATTTAGATACAGGAAGAGTTTGCTGTGTCGAGATTAAGAGAGCAATACTATGGCCTCTTGATGCACCTGGCAAGCCACAGAATTTGCTGGATTCCCAGATTCAACGTCAGATTCAGAGCGCCAACGATAGAGCCAGGAATCAGAGCTCTTCTCCTCTCCCACTTGCTGCCAAGGTCTGCCTCTGCTGCTCCTTCCACACTGACAGGATGACCCTATGCCACCAAGTTCTGGGCTTTACAAAAGAGCTGCACCCTCAGTCAATCTGGATTCAAATCCTATCTCATTGGTGCAGCCTTGGAGAAGCTACTTAAGCTGACTTCCTCGCCAACCGAGACAGAAATAGTGGGGACTCACAACACCCATGAGGTTTATGGGATATACTAGACTCTGTAACTAATTCTTTTTAAAGGAATGCTTTTACCACATGTAAGCCAAACATATGAGACACAACTTATCAGAAGACACACCTCCACCATGACAGGTATTTGGGTTCAGGAAATCTAAGCCATTTTACAATGGGCTGTTCAAAGTCTGACTGCAA